TCCCTTATGAGGAAAGACTGAGGGAGCTGGGTCTCTATAGTTTGGAGAAGAGGAGACTGAGGGGTGACCTTATTAGTGTCTATAAATATATAAAGGGGGAGTGTCGCGAGGATGGAGCCAGGCTCTACTCAGTGGCAAACAATGATAGGACAAGGGGTAATGGGTACAAACTGGAACACAAGAGGTTCCACTTAAACTTGAGAAGAAACTTCTTCTCAGTGAGGGTGACGGAACACTGGAACAGGCTGCCCAGGGAGGTTGTGGAGTCTCCTTCCCTGGAGACATTCAAAACTGGCCTGGACACATTCCTGTGTAACATTATCTAGGTGTTCCTGCTCTGGCAGGGGGATTGGACTAGATGATCTTTTGAGGTCCCTTCCAATCTCTAGCATACTGTGATACTGTGACTGTGAAAACGGCATTTATATTCGATATAGTACTGATGGTAGCCTATTCAATCTAAGGCGACTGAAGGCCCACACTAAGACCCTAAATCACCTTGTCTGTGAACTGCTTTTTGCTGATGATGCCACCCTTGTTGCCCACACAGAAGCAGCTCTGCAGCGTTTAACATCTTGCTTTGTGGAGGCGGCTGAGCTTTTTGGGCTGGAAGTCAGCTTGAAGAAGACAGTAGTTCTCTACCAACCTGCACCACAAAGAAGATTACCATCATCCCCACATTACCATTGGCGAGTCAGAGCTTAAGTCAGTTCAGCTCTCTGGGAAGCATTATTTCCTCGGATGCCACGATCGACAAAGAGATAGACAGCAGAATAGCAAAGGCATATAGAGCCTTCAGAAAACTCCATAAAAGAGTCTGGTGCAATAAATACCTGAAGAAAAGTACAAAGATCAGTGTCTATAGAGCCATTGTACTGTCTACTCTTTTATATGGGTCTGAATCATGGGTCATCTACCGCCATCACCTGCGACGACTCGAATGCTTTCATCAGCGCTGCCTCTGTGCAATTCTAAACATCCATTGGACTGACTATGTGTCAAATGTTACTGTCTTCAAACAGGCAGGTGTCACCAGTATTGAGGCCACATTGCTGAAATTGCAGCTGCGCTGGGCAGGGCACGTCTCTAGGATGAAGGATCACTGCCTCCCTAAGATTGTGTTTTACGGTGAACTTGCCACCGGTAGCCGCAAGAGAAGTGCCCCAAAGAAGAGATATAAGGACTCCCTGAAACAATACCTTAGCCTTGGCCATATTGACTACCATCAGTGGTCCACCTTGGCCTCCAATCAGGAGACTTGGAGACACACCATACATAATGCCGTTGACTCCTTTGAGAACTCACGCAGAACTAGTCTCGAGGAGAAAAGACAGCATAGAAAGAATTGGGCCCCGCCTATACCACCCAAGGAGACCTTTCACTGTGCTTTTTGCAGCCGGATTTGCCTATCTCACATTGGCCTTTTCAGTCATCAGCGCGCTTGTAGTAAGCGTGGGTAAAGCCCTTTGCAAAGTCAAGCCATGATGATGATGATGATGATGACGATGATGACGACGATGACTGCTTAGAACAGCCTCTTTGAGAGATCCCTGTGTTTGAAGTTAGGTTAGTCAAATATTGTCACTCCTGTGAAATAACTTTGCTTGTAGCTTTTTGGATAATTTCTGCCCAGTGAGAATATACAGTGCTTCCTGGCTGAGTAAATGCATAGAATCATAGAATAGTTAGGGCTGGAAAGGACCTTAAGTTCATCTGGTTCCAACCCCCCTGCCATGGGCAGGGACACCTCACACTAAACCATATCACCCAAGGCCTCGTCCAACCTGGTCTGAACGCTGCCAGGGATGGAGCATTCACATCCTCCCTGGGCAACCTATTCCAGTGCCTCACCACCCTAACAGGAAAGAATTTCCTCCTTATATCCAATCTAAACTTCCTCTGTTTAAGTTTTAACCCGTTACCCCTTGTCATATCACTACAGTCCCTAATGAAGAGTTCCTCCCCAGCATCCCTATAGGCCCCCTTCAGATACTGGAAGGCTGCTTATGAGGTGTCCTGAGTTCAGCAGTAGCAGTCATGTTTCTCCTTCTTGGTAGCTGGTGCAGTGCAGTGTTTTGACTTTCGGCCTGGGAACAGAACTGATAACAAGGATGTTTTGGTTTGGCCAAGGACTTTGTGAGCCTCATGCTCTGCCAGGGAGGAGGGGAAGCTGGGAGGAAGCAGAGACAGGACACCTGACCCAAACTGACCAAAGAGGTATTCCATACCACAGCACGTCATGCCCAGGATGTAACTGGGAGTTAGCCGGAAGGGCTGGGAGACTGCAGGGTTGGAGGAGGTATCGGTCGGAGCTTGGTCGGGCTTGGGGGCCGAGTTATCGGTCAGCTGGTGCTGAGGTGTTGTATTCTCTTCCCTTGTTATTTCCTTTATCATTATTATCATTGGTGGTAGCAGTAGTGATTTGTGTTATGCCTTGGTTACTAAACTGTTCTTAACCCGTGGGAGTTGCATTCTTTTCGATTCTCCTCTCCGTCCCTCCGAGAGCAGGGGGAGGGCAAGAAAGGGGGGGGAAGTGAGCGAACAAATACCTGACTGGGTTTAAACCACGACATGAGGTCTTCACACAGCCTTCTCTTCTCCAGGCTGAGCAGCCCCAACTTTCTCAGCCTATCTTCATACGGGAGGTGCTCCAGTCCCCTGATCATCCTTGTGGCCCTTCTCTGGACTTGTTCCAACAGTTCCATGTCCTTTTTATGTTGAGGACACCAGAACTGCACACAATACTCCAGGTGAGGTCGTTTCTTTAGGAGTTAAATTATTATTTGGAAGTACAGTCATCACTTTGGCTCTTTCCATCTCTTATCCAATTACAGCCTTTTATTGGTAGAATCGAGCAAAACCTTAAATTTGTGTATATTAAGTCTCTGCACTGCAGAATCCACCACACAAATTTTCTTAGGAGCCAGAAGTGATGCTGTCCTCTTTAAAGGTCACTGGGCTGGAGTAGCATGCATGCTGATGTTTACTGCTGAAGTACTTGGGAACTGGGGGAGGGAACCAAAAACTTTGTCTTTTTGAACTTAATCTTCATAGAATCCTAGAATGGCTTGTGTTGGAAGGGACCTTAAAACTCATCTCGTTCCACCTCTTCTGGATGCGCTCCAACAGCTCCACATTCCTCTTGTGCTGTTGCCCCAGAGCTTGATGCAGGACTGTGGGTGGGGGTGTCTCCCCAGAATACAGCAGAGGGGAAGAATCCCCTCGACCTGCTGTTCATGCTGCTGGAGATGCAGCCCATTCTGTCAGCATGCTGTAAGATCTAGAGGGAAAGCTATTGGCAATTCTGCTGGTCGTGTGCTGTGCAGACACGTGTGTAGAGTGAGCATTTTCTCGCATGAAGGCTTGCTACCAAGGTCCTTCATTCACCTGCTGTGGCCAAGGAGAACTGGTGTATGTATGAAAGGCAGAGCTGATGTTATGGCTTGTGGGAAGTGTTGCTGATTTAGTATAATCAAATTTTAAAAAGCAGCTGGGCTGAGGTGCAGGAGAAATCTGGAAGAATTTAGTGCTATGGTAACCGCCAAGGCTGCTGGTAAGTGGAAACAAGACCGTTCTGCCTGAATCACTAGCATGTGTCTGTGGTTTGTTTGGTGGTTTGTTGGGGTTCTTTTTGTTTCTCTGCTCTATTTGGAATTGATCTACTGATGCAGTATTTTTCTGATCTGGTTGGGGGGGCAGTCGCAAGTATTCCATGTTCACTGCTGAGAAGATGGTTTTAGGTGGTCACTTTTGCCTGGTTTTATTTAAGGTATATATTTTATGTATGATGGATAATGGGTTTAAATGTATCATTACCCAGACCCCTAAAAAAGATTATTTTTTTTTACTTATTTTTTTTTTCCTTCCTGTTTGAAGTGGGTGCTAACTTTTCTGTGCACCCTCTTCTAAGAGTCTCTTGGAATCCCTCAAAAAGAGACTGCAGTTAATGGATACCTCAGATAGAGTCTGTCCACACCTGAAACCTCCAAAACCAGGGATGATATAGGCACACAGGCTCTGCAGAGGTTTACATTGAATGATATTTAATGTTATAATTTATTCATAAAAAAAAAAAAGCAAACAAGCAAGTAGTAGGTCTGTAAGTACTGCTTAACTAGTTCTGAATTTGTTGTATACACAAAACTGGCTTGGAGTATTTGGAACCGAGGACGTGAGCAGCTGTTCAGCTCAGTTCTCATCTGCAGTGAAAAAAAAACCAAAACCCAAACCAAACAAAAAGCAATAATAGAGACCAGGAAGGGGAAGAATAGAAACCAAAATCAAGGACGTCATTATACTGTTGTCTGTAATAATCACCATGTGCATTTGTGTTGTGAATGACGGAATGACGCTCGCAGTTCTGGTTTCCCCTGGCTTCTCAAAGAGGATAACAGAACTAGAAGTGTAGCAAGAGTATTAAGATGTATAGAGGAGCTTCCATAAGATGAACAACTGAGTGGACTGTGAGTAGTCAAACATGAGAAGAGACCATTGCAGAGTAGGTTATGAATGAGGACCGTCAGAACCTTGAGTAAAGTTAACAGATAAATGCTCTTCCCCTGTCTTCTAATTCTTAAAATGCAAGCGTCAAGCAAAGCTAGCTTGGACCGTAATTGAGTGGTGGATGTTGTCTTTTTAAAGAGCTTGCAAAGGTTCAGAAAGTGGTCAAATTAATGGGAGGAAATCTATTGAGGTGTGAAATACAGAAAGAACACCTTTGGAAATATGTAAAATGTGTTGGACAACGAAAGAATGCTCTTGGAAAGTACAACCGTTTGCTGTATCCTGTGCATCCACTGCCAGCTGTTCCTGGAGGCAATACCTTAAGCTAGATAGACATTTGTCCCCATATACTATAGATGCCCTTAGGTATTTTTTACGTTCTTGTTAACCACCTATATAAGTGGGGGTATTTTTTCTGATATATGGAGTAAAAAAAAAACAAACAACAAAACCAAAAAAAAAAACCAAAACCAACAAAAACACAACCCACAAAGGACAAAACAAAACCAACAACAAAACTCAAAATCCCCACTAGTTTAGTTGCCAATTGCTTTCCAGTCCTCTTCCTACACATGAACAGCAAAAGAGTAGCTGTAGTTCTATACTGGAAAGCTGTCAGTCACTAAAGCAGACTGGCATTTTATCTTGCATTCAAGAAAAGACTGAAAAAGTAATGGGAAAATGATTTCAACATTGACCTTAAATGAGTGTGGATTGGGTTTTTTGTTTTTTACTGCTCTGTTTCTGCTGCAGGAAATCTGGTGGCTTGGCCATTCTGTGTTTGACTGATACTTTATTTGGTTTTTTGAAGGTACATAGGAGTAGGACTTTCTGCTCAAGGGGTCAGCATGAACAGGCTTCCTGGTAAGTCAATGTTCAAGTTTGTTCTGGTTATCAGTCTTGTCCTGGGTTCAGCTGTAACAGTTATTCCTTCTTAGTAGCTGGTGCAGTGCTGTGTTTTAGCTTTAGCCTGAGAACAATGCTGATAACACACTGATGCTTTTAGTTGTTGCTAAGTAATGTTTACTCCGATCAAGGACTTTTTGAGTCTCATGCCCTGCCAGGGAGGAGGGGAAGCCAGGAGGAAGCAGAGACACGGGACACCTGACCCAAACTAGCCAAAGGGGCATTCCGTCCCACAGCACATCATGCCCAGTATAGAAAGTGGGGGGAGTTACCTGAAAAGCCCAGATGGCTCCTCAGGTTGGGCAGGCTCCTCAGGTCAGCGGGTGGTGAGCAACTGTATTGGGCATCACTTGTGTTGGGTGACTTCTTGATCCCAGTCCTTGATTGAGCTGCGGATATGAGAAAATATTTCAGCTGATTGCTCTGATGCTGGGACAATGGGGCTGATGGTCACGAACTAGAAGGTAGGGAAGCCAAGCAGCTGGGATCACTTCCTAGGGAAGGGGGAACTGACAAAGCAATTGCAAAAGAGAAATGAGCCCTCAGGCTTTGGAGGTGGCTCTTGGCAGCTATGAAAGAAAGGTTTCCATACAAGGATGATGTTATGTGTCGGTCAGCAGAGCGGACCACGATAGAGAGAAGCATCCAGTCTCTGAGGGAATCAGCCATTGTAGAGATGATCTGTCGTAGGCCGGATGCAAGGAATGCGCCTGTAGATCCAGATGAAGTCGAATGTAAATGACCCGTAGTCCTGGGTTCAGCTATAGCAGTCACTTTTCTCCTTCTTAGTAGCTGGTGCAGCGCTGTGTTTTTGACTTTCATCCTGGGAACAACGCTGATAACACTGATGTTTTTAGTGGTTGCTAAGTAACGTTTACTCTGACCAAGGACTTGTAGTCTCGTGCTCTGCCAGTGAGGAGGGGCATGGGAAGCCTGGAGGAAGCAGAGCCAGGACACCTGACCCAAACTAGCCAAAGGGGTATTCCATCCTACAGCACATCATGCCCTGTATGTAAACTGGGAGGAGTTACCTGAAAGGCCCAGATGGCTGCTCGGGTCAGGCAGGGTATCAGTTGGCACATGGTGAGCAACTGTATTCTCTCCCCTTATTATTTCCCTTATCATTATTATAATTGGTGGTAGCAGTAGTGATTTTATGTTATACCTTAGTTACTGGACTGTTCTTATCTCAACCCGTGGGATTTACATTGTTTCCATTCTCTTCCCCATCCCTCTGGGAGCAGGGGGCATGAAGGGGGGAGCGTGTGAGTGGCTGCGTGGTTCTGAGTTACCGGCTGGGCTTAAACCATGAAAACAGTTTTGTTTGGGTTTGTTTTGTTTTTTGTTTTTTGTTTTTTTTCCCCTGTCATCTTTCACAGATCCCAGGGCATCTTTCTACTTCAATTCTGTCTAAAGAAGTTAATTTCCATGTATCAGTTTATGCTTCTGTTGTTCCTCTCTGTGACTCCAGTGACAAATGAAGGACTTGTGCTACAGGACTTAGTCCCAATGGTAAATATAAATATGCAAGATGGGACCTCACTGAATCTTCTGATCTGAAGCTAATTCAGTTATGCATCAGTCCTGCCTGAAAGGTGTGTGTCTAAACCAGCATTCCATTACCTTTCTGGCAGTGTTAAAGGACAGGTTGGATGGAGTCTTGGGTGACATGGTTTAGTGTGTGCTATATCTGTCCATGGCAGGGAGGTTGAACTAGATTATCTTAAGGTCCTTTTCAACCGTAACTATTCTGTGTGATTCTGTAACTTATTCCAGCACTGTACTTGTGTTGGAAACTTTTCCTGATGACTAAGCTGAATCTCCCATGTAGTCAAAGTCCATTACTCTTGGATCATGTGGAGGTGGAGAATAACTAATTTCTTTCATCTTTGTGTACATGAAGACCTTTATCACTGCTTTGTGGTCTTCTCTCTGACCAAATATCCCTGGCTCTTCATTCACCCTGTCCCTATTTGCCATGTTTTCTTGATTTGTCACAATGTGTGGTGACCTTTTCCTGAACTCTAACCACTGGGTGTATCACAAGCACCAGTGTCTTACTCCCTGTACTGAAAGAAAACATTGAAATTCAGAGCAAGTTCAGGAAGTGGCTGTTATCCCACACTGAAGACGTGCAAAAGAAAATCCTTGCCAAGCTTTCACAGTTTCTAAGGCTTAAACAGAAATGGGAAGGGAACAACCTGAGAAAAGAAGGGCCTCCCACTGGCTTCTAGAGCAACCAGCAAGCGCCCTGAAATATGGGATTAAATTGAGTCTGATTTCAAATCCTCCTGGCTAAGTCAACATTTTGGACATCCAGCTTGATTTTTCTATCTTAAGAAGTAATTGCTATTAAGCTTGTTTAACTGTTCATGCAGCTGATCAAGCTGTCTTAAAATACCTTATGGTATTTGCCCTGCTGCAAAGCTCTTCCAGAACCATACTTAAAAATAGTTGACCAAAATGTCACATGGGATTTCTGTGCACTGTCTTAGTGTAAGGTCTTACACCATGGAACTTGTACTTCTTTGCCTCTTTAGTAAATATACCTCAGCTATAACTTCTACTCTATTTGCTATGTTGAGGAAATAAAGCAAATCAAAGTTTTGCTTTTAGTTTAGATGTAATTTTAATGCTGTGTCGTGGTTTAAACCCAGTCAGGTAACTTGTTCACTCACTCCCAGTGAGTGGTGCCGAGCTGACAACAATCGAGGTCTGTGTCCGTCTCCCCCCCCCCCCCCCCCCCCCCCGCACCGGGGCTCTCCCCTTCCCCGCTCCCGGAGGAACGGGGAGGAGGATCCAGAGAGTGCAACTCCTACGGGTTGAGACAAGAACAGTCCAGCAACAAATCACCACCGCTACTATCAGCTAAAACAATGGTAAGGGAAAATAACAAGGGAAGAGAATACGATACCACCGGCCAAGAAAGCGAGTTCCACCTGGAAGCCCCTGTCCTTCCGGGTAACTCCCAGTTACCCCCCCACCCCGGGCATGATGTGCTGTGGTATGGAATACCTCCCCGGCTAGCCCGGGTCAGGCGCCCCGTCTCTGCTTCCTCACAGCTTCCCCTCCTCCCTGGCAGAGCATGAGCCTCACAGAGTCCTTGGTCAGGGTAAACATCACTTAGCAACAACCGAAAACATCGGCTTCACCAACACTGTTCTCAAAACTAGAAGTCAAAACACAGCACTGCACCAGTTAACACAAAGGAAAAACATGACTGCTACTGCTGAACCCAGGACATGCTGTAGTCTATCCTTCTTGCAACTTGTTAACACATTAGGAAGACAGATGGGTGGGAAAGGTCAAGGGAAGTGATTCTGCCCTTCTGCTCTGGTGAGACACACACCCCTTTCGTGGTTTATACCCTAGCCAGACAGCTTGTTCACTCACTCCCAGTGAGTGGTGCCAGGCTGAGAGCAATCGCCCCCCCCCCCCCCCCCCCCCCCCAGGCTCTCCCCTTCCCCATGCTCCCGTGAGGGATGGGGAGGAGGATCGAACGAGTGCAACTCCCACGGGTTGAGACAAGAACAGTCCAGCAACCAATGTACAACACATATCACCACCGCTACCACCAACGACAACAATGATAAGAGAAAATAACAAGGGAAGAGAATACAATACCACTTGCCAAGAAACAAGTCTGACCCTGTCCTTCCAGGTAACTCCCAGTTACCCCCCACCCCGGGCATGACGTGCTGTGGTATGGAATACCTCTTTGGCTAGCCTGGGTCAGGCGCCCCGTCTCTGCTTCCTCCCGGCTTCCCCTCCTCCCTGGCAGAGCATGAGCCTCACAAAGTCCTTGGTCAGGGTAAACATTACTTAGCAACAACCGAAAACATCAGTATCACCAGCACTGTTCCCAGGCTGGAAGTCAAAACACAGCACTGCCCCAGCTACCACAAAGGAGAAAAATGACTGCTACTGCTGAACCCAGGACAACCCCCCACCCCCCTGGAGTATTGAATCATCTGGCTCTGGAGTCCTCAGTACAGGAAAGGCGTGGACCTGTTGGAGAAGGGCCCAAAGGAGGGACACAAAAATGATCAGAGGGCTGGAGCACCTCTCCTGTGAGGAAAGGCTGAGAGAGTTGGGCTTGTTCAGCCTGGAGAAGTGTCCTGGGTTCAGCTGTAGCAGTTATTTTTCTCCATCCTAGTAGCTGGTGCAGTGCTGTGTTTGGGTGGGTTTTGGTTGGTTGGTGCTGAGCAATTGGATTGTGCATCACTTGTGTTTATTAGGTTTTGGTTTGTCTTCTTGTTGTGGGTTTTTTTTTTCCCTTTTTAGTTTTATATTCTCACCTCTTGTTATTTCCCCTATCGTTATTATTAGTAGTGCTATAATATACCTTAGTTACTGGACTGTTCTTATCTCAACCTGTGAGGTTTACGTTCTTTTGAATCTCCTCCCCATCCCTCTGGGAGCAGGGGGAGGAAGGGGGGGGAGTGAGCGAGTGGCTTTGTGGTTCTGAGTTACCGGTTGGGTTTAAACCACGACAAGAAGAGAAGACTCTGGGGAAACCTTATTGCGGCCTTTCAGTTCTTAAAAGGGGCCTATAAGAAAGATGGGGAGAGACAGCAGGGCCTGTTGCAACAGGGTGAGGGGTGATGGTTTTAAACTAAAAGAGGGGGGATTCGGGCTGGATTTGAGGAAGAAATTTTGTACAATGAGGGTGGTAAAATCCTAGCACAGGTTGCCCAGAGAAGTGGTGGATGCACCATCCCTGGAGACATTCCAGGCCAGGCTGGATGTGGTTCTGGGCAACCTGATCTAGAAGAAGATTTCTCTGCTCATTGCAGGGGGATGGACTGCATGAGCTTTGAAGGTTCCTTCCAACCCAGTCTGTTTTGTGATTCTATGAAAAAAAGGATCAGGAAGCAGTGGCAGTCCAAGCTGTTGACAGTGTAGACTCCACATGTCAAGGCTGGGCAAGCAGGCATCAGGCTATGGGCAGGCTGCCT